TATTCCAGGTATTGGCATGGCTCCAAAAATATCTTTCAATCCGTACGAGGTGCTCGAATTAGAGCGGGGATGCTCTGATAAAGAGTTGCAAAAAGCTTACAAGCAGCAATGCTTACGATGGCATCCTGACAAAAATTTAGGCAACAAAGATGAAGGTGAGTGTTTGGCTGAGATTATCGCGCAGAAGGCAGTGTTCAGACTTTGCGATGGCGCGCGTCAACGCGCGCCACCGTGGTAGTGGCGCTCCAGTGCTATTAGAACGGACGCGCCATAGCGCGTACCCTCCCTTTCCCCACTCTCCCTCAAAATTTGATTTGGGGCAGACATGCTCTCCGGACAATTTTCGGTTTAAGGTTAACTTGCTTCCCGAAAGGTGGCCTAGTAAAGAGTGAATAGTTCTGAATGCGATATTGTGAGCATACATAAGTATTCAATAGCGCAATTTTCTGTTTTGCGCTAGATTATTTCTGACTTTCTGTTGAGGTCTGCTGATCAGCTTCTTTTATGTTTCTAACCATCTCTCTTTCAGCTCAAAAGAAGTTCATTCTCGCTAAGGAGGCTTTCCAGTTCTTATTCGACAAGACCAACAGGGTAGGCTTATGTTTTCTTGAAATCATTGATATTAAAGCTGCTTCCAGTCTTCGGTTTACAATTGTTTGGAATCCTTTCAGGATGAATACGATCGAGATTATGAAAGGGCCAAATACAGAGAGGCGAATCAGAGAGCTCGCATGGAGAAGGCTGATAGTACTAGGAGGAAGTATGTTAGACAAAGTTTCATTTTCAACAGTCCCTTTGTTTCGCTTTTTTTAACTCACGTATTTGCCGAATTATGCTCAACTCATAAATGTTTAGGCTAATAGATGAACTACACCAAAGAGAAAAGGCGTTTGCTGAAAAACGTCATACCGATGAGCATCTCACACCTGCTCAGCTGCATCACAAGCGAAGAGAAGAGGTATTTAATGTAATTTCAATAGAAAATGTAATTCTAAGACGCTGAATTTTGAGAAAAGGACTTCGCTCCTGCCAGAAGTTGAACCTTGACCTTACGTGTACGTGGCAAATATGCTGTATTACTGTGACCAGTATCTTTTCTTGAGCTTCCGACAATGAGAATGTCATTGGTCCAGCTTCAAAGGGAAGGGACATCTGTACCCTGTACATCCAGCAGTGACACATAATGATACCAGTTTCACTTTTTATGCATTTCTTGAAAGGAGAGGTCGACTCCAGTCGAGCTTTTCTCGTTAAGAATAAGTCATAGAGAGTATGTAACTCGTGTAGCGACGAGAGTGTTACATACAACTCCACAGTGCCTGCAAATAAATAAAACTGCCTGGGAAAGGTGGGGAACGATGCAATGGGATTAAGCGGACAGCTTCTCATGAGAAGAGAAAAACTTTGTTCTCTTAACAGATTCAACTGAACCTCCTTCCCTTGTGCTGCTTCACTCTTGGCCTATAGGATCCTCACCCCTTGATCCACAGTCGTGCTTGGATCCACAGTCGTGCTTGGACCTTCCACAACTGGATGCTATTTTTAACAGATGGGTTCCCAGTTGCAACCAACGCTCAGCGGTATCTTCCCATAGAAATCGAATTTATCAATGGTATGTCATTTCTTTTGTACCACTGACCGGCGGGAGTGTGCAGGGATCCCCCTTCAAGCTAAACAGCGCCCCATTCGTCTACTCCTTTATTCATGGTTCTTGCGTACAGTGTTTCTCCTCTAATTTTCTCTTGTCTCACATCGAGCGCCCCCTTTTCCATTCATGCAGTATTTAGCACTTAGAACACAGTTTCTGGTTTTTATCATTTTTCCTGAGCCTAATTTTACTTCATATTTCAAAATTAATAACTTTGTGCTGCGCGCTCACATTGTTCCGTACTGCCAATACATTTCTCTTTTTGACTGCCATATTCAGCTGTTCTCTCGCAATGCTACAGCCCCCTACTTTCAAAACACAATTAACTGAACGACCTGCGATAATGGCACTGTCAAGGGATACGTGGGGTGCCTCCGCGCATTTGTTAGCCAGGTGCGCATTTGCGGAAAGTGTACCAATTTTTCCACTCGAAAATGCTAAATGTTCTATTTAATGTTTTTTGTTAGAGAGTTCAGCGTCAGTGCCACAGTGAGATTGTTATGTAATTCTATGTTTCCGTGCTAGCATGTTCCAATGACTCCCTTTGGAACGAGGCACCTTAGCCAACTGGTGTTGATAGTTGTCACGTATTTTTGTTGCTATTTTCTGTGATGAGCTTCGTTTCGACGCAATTTTCTCGTTTTCCTTTCGTATTTTAAGATGATATTAGACGTAAATGTTGCGAGGAGAGCTAGGAAACGCCCACAGGTCGCATGGTATGAACTAGCAAGCAACTTTTGACAAACTCGTACATTGCGACTGCGCGACTATCAGAGATTGCTGTCTAGAGCATCCCAAAACACCACCACTAGAAATTCGATCGCGGCACTTGTCTTCAAAAATGTCTGCCCTCTTTATATGTTATCCTAGTTTAGAAAAGCATCCTTTTCCCATGTAGAGGAGAAAAGTCTCTGTTCAGGGCATCCTGTACAGCACTCACTAGAAAGTTTGATTGCGGGACTTGTCTTCAAGGAATTTCTGCCCTTCTCTTCGGAGAATTTCTGCCCTGTTTATTGTTATGCTGTCGAGAAAAGCATTCTTTCCCCACGGAGACGAGTAAGGTCTCTGTTTAGGGCATCCAGAACACCACTATCTGGAAAATTCATTTGCGGGACTTGTCTTCGAAGAATTTCTGCCCTGTTTATATGTCATATCTTGGGCTAGGAGGGCATCTTTTTCCCGCGGAGACGAGAAGGGTCCCTGTTTAGAGCAACCAGAGCACAACTATCCAGAAAGTTCAATGTTGGACTTGTCTACGAAGAATTTTCGCCGTGTTTATATGTTATCTTGGTCTAGAAAAGCATCCTTTTTCCACGGAGACGTGAATATAAGAAGTAGCTGATTTATCAGACTGACAGTCGCGTAAGCACACAGAGAACATTTTATACAGCGTTTTTTTTCAGGAAAAACGTATTCGGTCAGAGTTTGAACGCCTGCGACAGCGTCTTGAGAAAGAAGCAGCAGACGAGATCCATGCTCAGCAGGAGCGGTTAGCTCGACTTGCTAGAGAACAGTCAGAAGGTAAAGCACCGGAGAAAAGTGAAGGTAAAGTCCTTTCTTCTCAGGCGCTTAAAATATTTGTTCAATTCGAATCCTTTATTAGCTTTTCACTGCGTTTCAGAAAAACATGCAACTCTCCGACTCAAATGGAAACCATCTGAAGACATGGATTATGACGAGGAGAAGCTGAGGAAGCTCTATGAAAATGTGAGCCATTTGTTTTACGCTTGAAGATTAGTGTTCTAAGATCACTCGAAATTATTTTTAGTATGGCACTATTTCGATGATCACTCCGATTAGAACAACGAAAAAGGGTGATCGGATATGTATGATCGAATTCGATAGTAATCACAGTGAATGGGGAGCAGAACTGGAACATGGGAAAGATGGTCCGGAAATTTCTGGTGAGGAGATTGACATTCTATTACTTCTTTCCCTGCTCGGCCTCGCTTCCTGGTCAGGCCCTCACTTTAAACTGAGATCCTTGCTCTGAAACCTTTGCTTGCTACATAACCCTGGGGAGGACAATTCGCTATTTATGAGCTTTTCCAAACGTGTTTTTTTTCGTAGTTGAGGACTAAAGGATTGTAAAATATAGTTATCATTTAGGTATTTGGCTTATTCCACCACAAGCATCCAATGATGATGAGAAGAAGGGTGATACAGCCGATGAAATACGTTCAGGTTTGTAACCTTTGCTCTCTTGCAGATCAGCCCCCCCCCCTTGTTCTGCAATTCGCAGGTCAGGCTGTACCATCGGTTTGGCTTTATCTTATCGCATTGCAGCGTACGGCGCATACTGCTAAAAATTCCTTTTCAGAGTTTGCCTCAATGAGCTACGAAGAACTGCAAGCTCAGCTGTTTGGCGATATGCCTGCACCTCCAGAAAAACGTAAAAAGTGGCATGAAGAAGACGAAGAAGAAAAAGATGAATGATCTCGCCTCTACCTCGTGCTGTTTATTTATGATGTAATCAAGTAAATGAAGTCACCAAAGTCTATCGATCAACGTGAAATTTGTTTTTTCGCAACGGCTAATACGTACAAGTAACTATATCGAGTTTAGTACGCATGCATTTTCTGTGGACGAGTTTCAGGAAACATTTGAGCAACCGCTTCGAGATCACCGAAGATATCCCTCGTTCCATCGTTTGAAAGTGCGCGAAAATGAGAGAGGGTAGTAATAGCAGGATGTCGTGTTGGGCTCCAGCTGCAGAGGAAGCTCTCAACACGCCACGCTGCAAGCCATACGCCTAGCCAAGATAGATGAATTGTCCGCGCCTCTCACTTTTATTTGGGAGATGCTGTTCTCTACACTTGGTTGCGTTGGGCAGTTTACCGTTCATGTTTTTCGCTGCAAGACCTTGGCGCACATCTTGGCTTATTGTGGGTATCCAGTGGAGAGCCAAACGATATCCAGCTTTAACTTTATCTCCATACACCAAATGTCAAGATTGGCATAGTTTTACAACTGCGGGCTCGCTCACCTCCTACATGGCGGAAAAGTGTTTAGCTTATGCTTTGAGTGCAGCGCGGACACTGGTATGCGGGCAGGTCCGAGCTGACGCTACGTGCAAGAGTAATGAAGGTACAGGACTAGCGCTCTGTAGAAGCTATCGTATGAAGCCACAAATGAGAAGAACCCCTGGGAATCGGCGGACACTCCGCTTCTTGAGAAGGAGGGAGATTTCACGTGTTGATTGAGTCCCGGAGGAGGCCTTCGATTACTTCATGCTCCGTGACGAGCGCGTAGGTCAAAGCAAAAGTACATCCTCGCCATTAAGAATAAGTCTAGGCTCATGTCGCAGTTTCGCAATAGGGAAATCTTCTATAATCCTCCCCTATGTTTTCATTGCAGCACTTTTTTCCTGTCACACTCTAGAGGTAACAACTATGGAAAAAGGTGCGCAGCAGTTACGCTAGCGCCAGACACTGAAAGGAACAACCCTTCGCGTCACTTGTCTTTGTCTTCAGATAAGAAATTGGTGGTGGAGAAAGTTTTCCAGGGACTGAATTTATTCCCCGCTCCGCGCAGGATAGCTACTAACTACAGGGTTTTTACCCTCCACTCTCAACCCACGTGATCTCATGGAACTGCTTTCACAACCGAATTTCCTATCCCTAATGGTAAGCCAGCGATTCAGTGAATAGCTGTGCTCAAATATGACTTATTCCATGCTAAGATAGAAATATGCATTTGCCTTTGCATTTGCAAGTTGTGTAGGAGTTCGAGCAGAAACCTTTTTCTGCCCGTAGGCCTTTTCATTGCTATATGAATGAGGGACTCAGTTTTTTGCTTATTTTTTGCTACAGAGCGCTCTACCCACCCAGCAGCTTCTTACCGTAGACTTGGGGAAAAAATGCTCCGCCACGCACCAAATTTCGTGTGAAGCAAAAAAAGGCAATAGGCTGTGTGGAATTCCTTAACAAGGGTGCACAGCCTACAGAAAATTGCCAGGCGAGAGCTGCAGATTTCCACGAAATGGCCCTAGACGTTGGCGCACCCTGTCCAGAAGGAAATGAAGCTGGGCAGCCACTTCTAGTGAATAATAGAGACATCTGCATCTTCATCCATCATATACATACTGTTCTAGCAAATGGAGGACAATGTGAAGAGTGAAGCAGATGAATGAGCCCGTTCTTGGCTGGCGGGAGTTTACCAACGATGGGAACAGTTGGTTACAGAAAATCTTACTATATATTCGATTCAAATGCATGACGCACGATATTGTGCTGCCTGCTAAAAGAGTGTTATATAATGGAGAAATGAAGAAAAAGCGAAGCTAAAGGGCAAAAAGCCTGCAAAAAAGCCTCTGTTCTGCATGGACGAACATTTATTTTGGACGAACATTTTTGGACGAGTTTACCTTGGGCATCGTGCCAACAAGCGCTTTGATAGATATGGCTGCACGTATGTGTTCATATATCCATGTAGCAAGGCTTCATAAAATTTGCTTCATAAACGAGCGATAACAATACCGTTGTCAGTGTGGTGTGAATTTGTCGGGTGATTCTGGTAGGCGTCTGGCTCAGCGTACTGAGCTTTGATTAGGCCCTATAACTAACGATGCCCTTATCGGGTGCTGGGGGCGCCTTTGTTCATTCTTTCGCTAGGTGCATCGAACTGTATGTACACTCCTTATCCCTGAGTCAGAGTAGGCGTGGCATTTGAACATGGCACGGAATTGGTTACTCGTGGAATATC